GTAAGAGTAGACCCGGAACCGATACTCTTGTCCGCCTCTTTACCGCACTGCGGCTCTTATCGACTCGTCGGATATCCAATTTGCTTCCTTTCGGGGATTCTTTTTATTTTTCTTTCTCTCTTTCTTTCTTTCTTTCTTTCTTCTTTTTTCTTTACGTGGAGAATTTCATTGGAGTATTTTTATTATCGATCAGTTGTTACGATTGTGATATTTGTGTGGAAATAGAACTGTCAGTTTGACAGTTAGTTTGTCAAGAATATTAGGAAAAATAGATATTTTAGAATTTTAATAAGATTCGATCTTTATTTGAATATTTATATTTATCTCGAGGATGGAAGGAGGGAGGATTGTGAACGTGGGAGGAAAAATTTCATCGTATTTTTCAATTTTCCTAGGGATGAAAGTTAATAAGGATTTTCTGGGTGCTTGTGGAGACAGGATGCGGTAGAATCCACCGTGAACCGTGACTGGCGCGATCGATCTGCATTCTCACGAAGCAGTCCTTGAATCTTGTCGCAGCTTTGGAAACTGTGCTGCAGCGCTCTCGTCGCCATCGTCGAAACAACGTCCTGAAAATTCCAAGTTCAATGCCGACGATAATCTTTTTTTTATCGTTTCCGCCCAAAATTTCTTCTTTTCTTTCTTTCTTCGATCCATTAGAGAAAAACTTCGTCTTTCAGAGGAACTTTCATCTCGAAACGATATAATTTCTCTTCTCCTAAGAAAATTTGCGCCAAAACGATCTTTCAACGTTTCCTGTTCCATTGTAAAACTTGCTGTTGTTTTCGTAGACAGAGGATAAACAACTGTTACGCACCGGTATTCCAGAGCAAAGTGTTTTATCTGTGGAATTAGTTAACCGGCTTCCGTGATAAAAATTGTCGGGAGAGCTTCCCAGGAAATGGCACATCCTTTCGGAGGAATTTTCTAATTGCACGCACGATGAAACCGGCGAACATGATTCTCGAACGATCTTTCGACTTCGTTGCTTCATCCTCAACTTCGATATTAATTAATATATCTCGTTCATCATTAATTTTTCCATTCCATTCCATCAGAGATATTTTGAAATCGTTTATTTCTAGTACAACTTCGCATAATTGATGAGAAATTAGGACGAGTTTCGAATTTTGTCGATCAATTGGATACACTTTTTAAATATACTCCTTCGTTTAAAAATCTATAAAATCTGCGAAACGTTATAAGTTAAGTTATAGGTTATTCTGATCGTTTCAATTTTTATGATACAGGGATTTCACTTTAGAAAATTTGATCAGAATGAAAATGATGGTGACTCTGTATCTTGAAAATTATTCTTCTTGGAATAACATTGATTATATAGTTTCTTCGTTGAAAAGTTTTGAGGCCAGGCGCATGCTTGTTTCGAATCAATTTGTACACGCGTATATTCAGTTTGCTTTTACTCTCACAACCATAAGTTATAGATCGTGTTAAGCAATGTAATCTATTGAGGGGGAGGAAAAAAAAACCTGCTAGAAAATTAATTTGCATTATCAGTCATCGAACGAATAAATAATATTATTTTTTCCTTTTCTTCTTTATATTATCCCATTGTACGACACGATTTTAATTAAATTTTTCTCGTGTCTGGAAAATGTTTGGAAAATCTTTGAAAAATTGAATGAAAGAAACGAATTCTACATACTTGTGAAGTATTCCGTATCGAGATCTCTTTTTATCCCTCTCTGGAACTAGATCTTCTTCCAAATAAAACACGTCTTTACGTGTCAAAAAGTCGAGACGACACCGAAAATAGAGGAACAGAGCGGAACACAAGTCAGACTTAGTTAGAAAGCGTGACTGTTACTCTATACACGTCTCTGTTCGAAGCCTTAGGTGCTTTAGAAAATATTTAGAACCGGCTGATTACACTGATACTCTTTCCCCTGTAGAAAATATTCCATTTTTTATTAGAAATAAATCGAAATTTAATTTTTAATTTAATACGAAACTTTGGTTTTTAAAATTCTTGAAGAAGCACGGAATGCTCGCTCCTTTTCTTTTCTTTTCTTCGAAGAATATATTATTTTTGTCGAGAAATCTGTAACATTATTTTCTTTTTTTTTTCTTCTCTTCCAAGAAGTTATTATTTTCGACAAATTTTGATTCAATCAAAGTTATTTTTGGATCGATAACAATAGTCAAAATACAAATAAGTTTTGAATAAGAAACTTTTTTTAATTGAGATTACTCGCATCGACGCGATATCTGAACGCAAGTTACGATTTTCAGGAGGAAGTTTGAGAAGTTTGAGAAACGCTTGAACGAAAGATTTCTGCAATTGAGCTTCGTTTAATGGTCAACGCCCTCGAGTAATTGACGTGTACGCAGTACTTGAGTGTAATTACACGGATGTCACCTCCGACCAGTTCTTGCTTAATTGCCGCCATGATTTTTCGCCTTGCTATGTGAATATTTCATAAAAAAAAACGTGATCTTTTATGATAAATCCTCTCGAGAAGATATCGATAGAGTTCAATAGAATCTTTGTAAAATGAATTTCAACTCTAATCCTTTCGATATTTGAGATTTTGATTTAAGAAACTTCATCTTCATCCTCGAATTCTTCGCCATGGATTAAGAGAAAATGAAATAATCAAAATAGAATCTTTTTGTTATTCAGATTCTATGAGAATTTCTTTATGACGATGGTTCTGTCAGTTATCTGTCAGTAAAATACTGTTATTATTATTCGAGCAGATTCTTTATCTGTCTAAGAAGCACTTTAAAACAAAGACAGGATAATGGATATCTTTCAAAATGGTCGATATCTAAGCCTCGAAACTTCACCTATCGTAAACTTTTGATATCGTGTTTTCAAACTTTATTGTTCGATATAACACTTGTAAGTCAAGGCAGTGGAAGTTTTTAAATCCAGTTCTGCAACTCGAATCGATCGAAGAATATTATATTTCCAGTTGAATTATTAATTTACCAATATATGATATAGACGAATTCTTTTTCCTGAATATTTTTTTTAGATTTTACCAAACTTTCCAATTACAAGCTTCGATTCTTCCAATAATCTCCAAAGCCAAAAAAAAAATCCAAAAACAATTCGATCGTCCACAGATCCTCCTCTTTCTCCTCCAATCCTGTTTGCACCTGTAAATCTGAAACAATGAGGGGGGTGCAAAGTCACGACACCGGAGGAACTCGGTTATCGTTCCAATCTGATACGTGTCTTCGAGATCGATGCTTATCCGCCCTGGTCCCGGTGACGAGCTCTTCTCGTCCGTGCTTTCCCATCGATACCCCCCCGTTATAATGGTTGCTCTATACAAGCCCCACGATACAGTACAGCCTTTGTCCTCGAGTGATAAACAAGCCCATCCCTGTCGCGGGAGAGCTTCTTCGCTCCGTCATCTTTCGAACCTGTTTCATGGAACGAGATCGTTTAAAAAAAAAAAAAGCACGGTGTTTAGAAGGTTTACGTGGCACTTCAATCTCGTGCGAGAATTTCAAGAATTCATCAATTTTTTCCCCCATGCCATTAGCTTCTTTCGATCGATACGAAATTATTTTTTAATATATTTTTTTTTCCATGGTATTAGTTTCTTTTTGATCGATGATTAGATCGCAGTGGGATGGTTGGAAGTTTGTTCTCGTTGAGGAGTTAAGAATGATTCTTTTAAAATTTTATATTATACGTAAATTATTTTTGTTTAAGTTATTTTATCATCATATATTTTAGGCTAATAATTTATCCAGATTTTATCCAGATTTTGACTATTTTTTTTGACTATTTTCATTTGTGTTTTGGAATGACGTTTACAAATTTCGATTAAAATTGTTGTGCGCAAATGATTGATCGATATATTCCCTATTTTTCTATTTTTAATTCTAGAAATTGAGAGAAGCCAGAAAAAAGCCTTCTATTTCTCTACATACGCGTGACTTAAGGGGTTAATGATCCAATTACGTAATTTCTCCTAGAAACCTGGCCTATGTATAATTCAAAACGCCAAAAGGATCATCTGGTATCGTGCATCTAGATTCTTTTTTCTTCCAATATATCTTCTTCAGATCTTACGTAAGCACAGGCACACGTAACCAGAAGAAGTATCTTTGCACCTACGTCCCGCTTCTTTCTTTCCACCAGTTGTTTGTTTCGCGTCGCTGATTTACTGGTAACGGGAGAAGAAGCTATAAAGAAAACGTTGACCGACTATCCTCCTGTTAAACCGATTTAATTCAGAGAAATTTTCTATATGGATTTCATACACGTATCAATAATATTTTAAAATTTAATAATAATAAAATTAACAACTAAATAAAATATTTTATTTATTTATAATTCTCAATAATTAGCAATATTTTCATTTCAAACAACAGATCTTTTGAACGATATTATTTATATTATTAAACTCGTTCTAGATCTAAATTTATTAAATATCCCCCTAATTCGATTAAACGAATAATTCTGCAAGGAATATATCGTCGAATGCTACTTTAATGCAATTTAATTGGAATTTCTTCCTACAATTTCTCCCCCTGACTTATTTGCGAATCCGTATATAAGGTTGACCGATCTTGACCTGGACAGAACTTAAGCTTAAACCGTTCGGGATTGCTGCCAGCTGGAAAATCGCTAGACCAGCCCGTCTGTCGCCAATTCTCGATCGATTATCGTGATCGAATAAGAAAAAAAAAAAAAAAAAACCTGAAATCTGGGTGAAGAGGAGGGGTAGATCTATCGTGTGCAAAATTGCAGCTATGTGAACGCTTATCTTACTGCATTGCAGTGTGGATAATAAATTCGGATGACGTATTGAGAGATTTGACTGAACAAGGAATAATAGACGAGCAAAAGAGGATTTGCATATTAGAATGGATTTGATCGACGACTTTGGGAATTGAGTATATTGAAATACTTACAAAATTACAAGAATTTTGATATTAATATATTACTGTTTGGAAAAATTTTCCAATATCGATGAAATAAATAAAAATTTTAATTTGAAACTACTTTTGATCTA